TGAGGAGGGTCCGGGGTCTGAAGCTCTCCATTTGCTCTGCAGAGTGAGGAGGGTCCGGGGTCTGAAGCTCTCCATTTGCTCTGCAGAGTGAGGAGAGCCTGGAGTCTGACGCTCTCCATTTGCTGTGCAGAGTGAGGAGGGTCTGGAGTCTGAAGCTCTCCATTTGCTGTGCAGAGTGAGGAGGGTCTGGAGTCTGAAGCTCTCCATCTGTCAGTCAGAGCTCCCTTCACCCAGCGAGCACCGATGGGGCTTCAGTCTCCTCAGACTGTGGCTGAAGGCAGAGCACAGCGGCTCTTCCCCCCTCGGCTTGCTCCTCTCTCCCCCGGGGGTCACAGGACTGTCTTACACAGTAGTCACAGCAGTTAAATCAGAAAAGGCCTCTGGGGAAAGGGCCCCTGGCTCTAGGCAAACTTTCTACAGTTTTTTTTCAATGTCATTATTTCTGTCCTATAGTAAAAATAAAAAGTAAAATAAATTTAATCTGATTCTACAAATGCAATATGACAGGACATACAGACATCAGAGAACAAAAAATACAGGATACTCAATTAAAATTTAATTTCAATTACTCTTAGTTTAATCACTTTTATGGTTTAAAAAAAATAACTTTTTCTTTAAAACTTGGGTATGGTAAGTAGTCAGTGGAATCCAAGTGTTGCTGTTTTCAGTTAGGCTGCAGTGCAGATCTGCAACTGTGCGACCTCCTCATCGCCCGTCCCTCCTCATCCATCCCCATCGTCCATCCCACATCTTGTCTGCCTCCGCACCTGCTTCTGCTTTCACTGAGCTCCAGACTGAGGCCCTGCTGCTAAGAAAAGAGTGAGTCGACTTTAGTGTCTGAGATCTAGAGGGCATGTGGTCACTCATTGGCCTTTTGAACCGGCCTTACCCAACTGCTGGCCCTATTTACTTCTGGTACAATTTTATGATCTGAAAGTGCCTGGCATCTGGTGTCTGACAAGTGCAATAACTGTCCCCACCTTGCCCTTTGCCCTGTCTTTGTCTAAGGGACCGAAGTCCCAAATGGCTACCTTCTTTGGCTTCCCAAGCTCCTGGGGTTCCAGCCAGTGACCATCTGGGCCACGTAGGAGGTGAAAGGAAGGCAAGGAGCTGAGAGAGAACGTTTGCCCTCTCTGGAGTATATGGGTTTTCGCACTGTGCACTGCAGTGGAAAGTGGACGTGTATGTCCTGTCAATTCAGAAACGTCAGATGAGAAGTCAGGGCCAGTCTTCCTGTCCAATACCACCTCCTTTCCAACCCCCTGGGTCGAGACACAGAGGCCAAGGAACACTCTTAGAATTCTATTACCTAACATCCCAAAGCTTGATTCTTTCTCTTCCCAGTTACTCTAACTTTTCTTGTGGTAAAATATGAATCCAGTTCTGCCTCATTTCTCTCCTGGTGCAGACAGGCACATGACTCCCTTTGTACAGGGTATTTTGGCATTTGTAATATTTGTTTTCAGTTTAATAATAGTAATCTAGACACGTTGGTTTGCACTTGGTTCTGGGGAAGGAAGCTTGTGATCAAGGAAGCTGGGAAAGGCTTACTGATATTTTACCTAGGGATATTACAACCTTAAATCACTAAACACCTTGAACTGCTCAGCACATAATAATTAGAAGCAATTATTAGCCACTATAATGAAAATCTAAAAAATACAGCTCTGGCCTAAGATGAATTCTCCACTGTCAGAGAAACCAAATCTTTCATTATAGCTTCTCCACATGGCAGAACATATAGACATCAGAGAACAAAAAAGACAGGATTCAATTAAAACTTAATTTCAAATAAGCAAAGATTACTTCTTAGAGATTAGATCTGTCTTATTCAGATAAATAACATTTAGTTTTAGTATGTCCCAAATATTGCACGGAGTTGTTGCTCTTTATCTGACCTTGCCGTGTGCCTGGACCTGCCCTCTTTCTTCCTGGTTATTAGAAATGGATCCTTTTCTCCAAATGTGAAGACTAGACTCCTCTCATTTACATCACAACAGTGCTATGTGTGTCCTAGGCCAAACTGGCTCCTTTGGTGCCATGATTCAGATTCGAACTGCAAAAGGGTCAGGAGTGGGTGGGAAAGGGGATGTGGCCAATAGTTTATATTAGGTCCCTCGTGTCATTTCTGTTAGTCCTTAGAATTAAAGTGGGTCCCTTTGCAAAAAGGAGATGAAACTAGTGTCTGCATTTCTGTGTTTAGGGCTGTCCGTGTTCATAGCGTTAGTATCTTGACGGCGTAGCACGAGCTCTGCTTACTCAGGAAGCATAAGAAATATGTCAACTCTGAAAGACTTTTAATTAAGCTGCTGGAGCTTTGATGTCAAACTTTGAGATTCGAATTACATCTTTCAAAAAAGACCCTATTTCATGTGCCACTACTGAGAAAAAAATGTGTTGGCCTTTGCAGATAGTTATTGAATTTACAGAATATTTATTTTAAGATATAAGTTATGAGCACTTGATAAGCTGGATTTAGTGCATCAGTCTCTGTTACAGAAACATGCTGTTACCCAGAAGGAGGGTTGCTAGTTTCCTGACTTTTCTGTTAACAGTGACTATCGCCAGTGTTAGTTTCTGGTGTAAAATCAATGAGTGTATGTTACTCCTAGAAGCTTCTAAACCTTCAAAAGGGGAATGAAAATGGTTTCAAATAGAAACTAGTTTATGAGCATTCAGGGAGAGAGAACCGACATATCTTGGGGGTGTATTATGGGCTGGAGACTATGTGTCCCTGTATCTCTAACCTAACCAACAACTTAGAGAAGGTGATTGAGGTAAGTAATTTTGCTTGAGTCATAAAGTTGTGTGCTCTGAAAGTGCTTTATCCAATGTAACTCCCTTTTGAATTTTCCTTACAGTTTTCACCTACAGTTACTTTGTTTTTCAGGATTCTGAACAAAACTCTCACAGTTATTGAACTCACTTCCAACTCTTGACAGTGTTGGTAGTAATTTCTTATATAGCCAACATTTTATTTTTCTTCTGCTGTGATATAAGTTCTCCCCAGTATTTTCAAAATAGATTTTTAATGAAATTATGCTCATTTGTGGATATCTAACTTAATAAGCACTAAATGTATGTAGACCTAATTTTTTTATTTAAAAGATGAAAAATCTTGGAATTTAAAGAGTCAACCTTCAACCCAGTGAAAGTGTCACATAAAGATTCTGATTTATGTTTGAATATTTTTGTGGTGACAAGTTCATAAATTTTCAAGGCAGTTTATTAAATTAATTGAAAGTTGGCCAGGCACATGGCTCCCACCTATAATCCCGGGAGGCCGAGGTGGGTCGACTCCTGAGCTCAGGAGTTTGAGACCAGTCTGAGCGAGAGTGAGATCCTTTCTCTACAAATAGAAACAGTAGCTGGGCATTGTGGCAAGCACCTGTAGTCCTAGCTACTTGGGAGGCTGAGACAAGAGGATAGCTTGAGCCCAAGAGTTTAAGGTTGCTGTGAGCTATGATGCCACAGGACTATACACGGGGTGACAGAGTGACACTCTGTCTCAAAAAAAAAAAATTGATTGATAGTTTGAAACAAGGTCTATGTATTGAATGGTACTGCCTACTGGGGACACATAAATAAACTTAAATCCCCCCTACCAAACCAGGTGCCATGTTGATTAACTTTTTAGTAGCTTGTTTCAATACATTTATAGTCTAGCCATCTGACCCTTAAACAGAGGATGATATTAAAAATGGTTTTGAATCATACTCTCTCTATAAGGGGAAAACAAAAAAAAAACAGTGATTCAGCACAGGAAAATATAGTAATTGCGTACGTGTTTTTCCACATATATGTACTGTGTATATGTAGGTGGATACTCATACGCTATGTATCTTTTTCTATTGAATGGGAACATGCAGAAGAAGCAGAGTACCTCGATTCACTGTCTCTTGGACGGCACCCCCACGTGTAGAGGAATATAGCTCAGTGAGCACCCAGTGGCCTCACGTTGGGGTCCTGAATATGCATGGCTTAAATGGCTTGGAATATTGTTTTTCCCTGATTTTATCATCTGTTCAGGGGTTTTCTTTGGGGAACAAAGCACATCTGGCAGTTGTGAGTTATCCTCTTCTGTAGGGACAGTCTCTATCCGTTGTACATGTGTATGTGAGATGTAACGATGTCTCTCCCGCCCTGCAGATCATCTTCCGCAAGATCAGCGACGTGAAGAAGGAGGAGGAGGAACGTCTCCGGCAGAAGAACGAGGTGACCCTCAGCATCCCCGTGGACCACCCCGTCCGGAAGCTCTTCCAGAAGTTCAAGCAGCAGAAGGAGCTGCGGAGTCAGGGCGCGGCGCCCGGGGAGCCCGAGCGCAGCCAGCTGCAGGTGGAGACCCGCGCGCTGCAGAACGGGGCCTCCACCACCGGCACCAGCGTGGTGACGGTGTCGCAGATCACGCCCATCCCCACCTCTCTGGCCTACGTGAAGACTAGCGAGTCCCTGAAGCAGAACAACCGCGAGGCCCTGGAACTGAAGCCCAACGGCAGCGCTGAGCCCAAATGTCTCAAAGTCAACAGCCCCATAAAAATGAAAAACGGGAATGGGAAGGGCTGGCTGCGGCTCAGAAATAACGTGGGCGCCCCGGAGGAGAAGCAGGAGGGCTGGAACAATGTCACCAAGGCCGAGTCCCTGGGGCTGTTGTCAGAGGACGCCAAGGGCAGCGACTCGGACAACAGCGTGGCCAAAAACCCGCTAAGGAAAACAGACTCCTGCGACAGCGGAATTACGAAAAGTGACCTCCGTCTGGACAAGGCTGGGGAGGCGCGGAGCCCGCTGGAGCACAGCCCGGTCCAGGCGGACGCCAAGCACCCGTTCTACCCCATCCCCGAGCAGGCCTTACAGACCACGCTGCAGGAGGTCAAGCTCGAACTCAAGGACGACATCCAGCTGCTGAGCTGCAGGATGACTGCGCTAGAGAAGCAGGTGGCGGAAATTTTAAAAATACTGTCCGAAAAAAGCGCACCCCAGACCTCTTCTCCCACAGCCCAGATGCCACTCCAAGGACCTCCCCAAATTCCATGTCAGGATATTTTTAGTGTTTCAAGGCCTGAATCCCCTGACTCTGACAAAGATGAAATCCACTTTTAATATATATATAAATATATATATATATACACGTATATATTTGTTAATATATTAAAACAGTATATACATCTATATACATATGTGTGTATATACAGTATATACATCTATATATTTTCACTTGCTTTCAATATGATGAACACAACCTGGGTTTTGATATGTAAATATTGCATGTCCAGCTGGATTCTGGCCTGCCAAAGAAGACGATTATAATTCAAAACATAGATATTGCTTGTATATGATGCAGTTGACTGCATGCACACTTTACAATTTATTTATAATCTCTATTCTATAATGAAAAAGTATGACTTTTGTTAACCAAGGCAATGTAATATTTGAAGAATCAGGGTCCAACCTGCCAATGTCGCCATGACAAATTTGATCTCAGGCTGAGTCTACCGAGCTGTCATTTCCTCACTGTTCTGTTAAGTTAAAGTTATAGATGGATGCCAAGAATTCAGTCTTTTAAACTATTAGTATCATTTTATGATATCTTTCCATAGGCTGTTTTTCTGTAACTTAGTGTGAGGTTATTTCCCCCCACCCCCAGGCAGTGTTCTCTCCGTTGAAATGACTGTTCTGTTGCCTAAAGTCAGATAGTAGTGTGGAATATTGAAAACTTATTGCTATGGGTTTTGTGCATGAATTGCATTTTTGCTAACCTATACCTCTTCCTTTTTTTTAAACATTAGATAGTAATCATTAACTCTTACGTAAGGAAATCCACACCCTCTCTGTCTTGGAGAACAGCTGCCATCATGTAAGCTAACGATATCAACACCATAAATACTGATTTATTAATATAGTGTATATTATTATAAAAATACTGCACCACAGGGTATAAGGGCCTTTTAACAATTCATGTTAGAGATGCTGATTTTTCCCAAGGTGATGAATCCTCTAAATACATGAATTCTAAAACTTGTTCAAGAGTGAGGTTGAAAGGCTCTTAGCAAAGAAACATACCAAAAAAAAAAAAGCATTTGAGCAATCATATCAAACTTTGAATTATAATACAAAATAAAAAAAGAATGTCAACAGGCAAGTTTTGTAACATCTCTGTAGCTTAGACAGAATGAAGCACTGGTTCAGTTTGTTGACATATGATTCCTGACTGTTGGTAGTGATAACACACAAGGTGGTAAATAACAAACAAATAAACCAAGAAGTAGATGTTAAATTGCTCAACTCAGATAGCTGCTTTTCTGTCACTTTATTCTGGTTACAATTTTGTAAGGCTTTTTTTGCACACAGTTCTACTGCTGGACTTCTGCTGAGTTGATACAATAGCCTGCTATTGCTCAGGCAGATCCACTTAGGAAAGGGGGTTACTAAAATTTTTATAGTCTTTTGGGTCACAAATCCTCTTTTTAGAAAGTGCCTATTATCAACTAAAAAAAGTCACAAAGAGTTATGTATAGCTGTGTATTAAGCTAGTCCCTTAAATAGTATATATTGAGAATAAAATGCACATTTATTTGTAAGAACCTAGGAGAATACCTTTCAGTTGACTAAAATATATTTTGTGAAGTTGTTCAGAGAGGCATACTTTTCGATCAGTGCATGCTTGACATTTAACGTAAGCATCAGGTGAGTTAGTATTTGCATCAAGTTGAAAATATATGCCAATAATTTACATATTGCTAAACCACCTGTACATATGTATTAACAACACACGCAAGGGATGGCAGAATCAAAGGAGATATTTTGGTCTATTACCCCCATTTTTATAAGCTTTTCTAACTTTCTCCCAATATCCCCACCACAGCCATCAGAACTGAAAGACAAGTTATCACAACCAGACTGGGGAAGGATAAAATAGCAATTTTTAAGAACAGCTGCTATTTTAGAATTTCTATTAGAACTTCTTCACATGCCCCCAAGATGTGCCTCTGCAATCCAGGAGTCTCGGGACACGTTCTGTGCCCTGGGCTCCGTTTTCCTTTCTTTGTGCATAAAACTTCCATGACACGGAATGGAAGTGTTCAGGGGAACACGTCTCCATGCTCTGCTATGGTATCTACCCACCACAGGCACAAGGAAATGAAACCATTGTGGTGTAAAGAATCAGCCCTGAAATGGGGATTTTGTTGCTCTCCTGGTGAGAATGGTATCTTTTTCTTGACCTCTGACAATTACTGCATTTCAGGGTATTTTTTCTATTAGTTTAAGTCAAGTTTGGCTAAAGCCTTTAAAAGTGAATGAGTAGTAATAATAATAATAAACTGAGTAAAGAAATTGTTAGCTTAACTTTAGCCACATGCTTCAAAAGTACGTGTTGGTGTAAAGCACGAAGAGTGACTGTGTGATCGCCTGGGGTGTTGCAGTTGCAGTCCAAGCCTTTCTGTGCAAGTGCTTCAAATACGTGCTGTGTTCTGACACTGACTCAGCGTTTTACCTAATCGGTCTGCAATATTAGTGTTCATATACATGGGAAAGAAACATAGTGGTTTTAAATTATTCCAGGTTGTCAAGAAGAAAGGAAAGCCTCGGCTGTTCATTTATGGTGCAGTTATCATGGTATTCTTTCCAGCCACCTCTGTTCTCTGTGTGCATGATGTGATGAGGTGCTGAATGTACACTGTCATCAGCAGGAATGCGTGTATTCAGCAAACACTGTATATAGGCTCCAAGATTCCACACTCCTTAGCAGTTGAATTTACTCGGATTTGAATGAAGGGTGAACATTTGCTTTAAGACACGCAATACCAATACTGTCGCGTTCTGTGTGGCCTCAGCTGGCACATAGATGGGTGATGCTGTCTCGGGGACCAGACAACTGCATGTTTTATTTCTACACTGTATAGATACTCTTGGTGCATCCGGAATAAAATTTCTACTGTTATATTTCTGAATAATGTATTAATAGGAGTAAATGGACATATATTTAAAATCCAGACATTTTCCAAAGCAATGTACATACTTTCAATATTTTTCTATGATAATACTAATGTGTCAGATGCTGTAGCCAGGACAGGTGGTTGTAACTTAATAGCAAAAGGCAAAAAAGAACAGAAATGCAAATTCTGTACTGTAATGACAAGTTTTAACAGTCTGCATCAGGATATTGTTGCACTAAATGTGATCTAGTAGATGGAAAGTTTATGGTAAAAGGCAAGTAGGTACACAAAGGCCAGGTGACAATACCAAAGCTACATGAATCGTCCTTAAAATCATTCAGGCATAGTGGTTGAACACAGACCCCTTCTTCTTTGTTAAAATGGAAAATTTTTATTGAGTCTGGTTTCATCTCTAAGTATAGGAGGATAAACATCCTAAATACAAAAAAAAAAAAGAAAGAAAGAAAGAAAGAATTTTATGTAGATAAGGGAAAAGAGAATTTAAAAATTTGGGGTTTTTAATTCTTTCTGGAACAAATGTATACTCATTCTGTACCCAATACTTTAATAAAAATATTAGTTATGACCATGACCTAAAGTGCCATTTTGAAAATAAACATTGTTGAACCAAAATGCAGATCACATTTTCTCTTAGATTTAAGGAGGTTTTGTTCACCTGTGAGATCCTGTCCATTTGCTGTCCTATTTTAAATGGCTAAATTTTTTGGAAAACTTTTTTGTGTTTAAATCTTCTGAGCAGTTACTATTTTGAAGTGCACATGACTAATTGTGAAATTGTCATCTTGCCAGTGAGTTCCACTATCTTGTATAGTTTTTATCTCATAAGCTATTTTTTCTGAGTATCATTTCCAAAATTTCATGTAGGTAATGAGAAAATTTGTCTCTAGTATGCATATCATAGCTGGATAGTTTTAAAATATGGATATCTTACAGAATATCTTACAACCGTGTGAATGATGTGCTTTCATAATTTTTATTAGGTAGAAGAGTATTTCTCTTCTGGTCTTGGTAAAAAGGGTAGAAGAAAAATACAGTCTTTTGGAAGACACCAAGGAATGCATTTCTGAGCTCTGTCTGGGATTCTGAATCTGGCTTTGCCACAATCAAGCAGTGTAATTTTGGGCAAGCCAACTGTTTTTTCATTGTGCCCAATGAAACAATTCCCCAACTAATAAATAATACAGGGAGGATAAGAGCTGCTCTCTTCTTACAGAGAGATCCTGTTAGGCTAATGGAAAATCATCTTTCTCTCAGATGAAAATTATATTCAGACAAGATTGCAACTTTTTCTTTCATAAGAGATGAGCTGTGATGTGCCATCTAAATATTATTCTAGATTTCGGGAGAGATTTCTCTGGTCAAAAGGTGGTGGAGAGAGGCATAGGTTGCTAGTAATTATTAGCGGCAAGTGAGCATACAGCTTGATACCTGGGAATCTAGAGCTACTGATCAAATAAATGTGGAGAAAATAAAGGTCTGTTGAGGGAAGGAAAAGATGAATTTTATGATTTTTTCTTATTGCACTGAATCATATGGCTCATCAGATTCTCATTTTGTGAAAAAAGTGCATATGCATATTGGTAAGTATTCAGGGTACAGTAATTCATCCTTCAACTTTTTGTATAAAATTAATCATGGCTTAAGATACATGATTCCACATAAGCAGATGTTCTTACGACAGAATTCTTAGCTGTGTGCCAGGTATTAAAAGTTTTGATATGTATTATGACTGAAGATTTTCATCACTAGGTTTTTAAGCTGACACCCATGTGTTTGCATGCTTTACGAGAGTCAGGGCCTTTAAGGGTTCAGACTGAGAGCTGGGAAGATGATGAAGGAAAGGGCTCGGAGAAGACTGAGCAGAATCTATCTGCTTCTTTACTCACAGGCTTAGAAAGCAAATAAACTAACGAAGCTCATATTGTTTGCATTCTCACCGTGCGGAACACTTTACTTAGAGTATCAAACTTACAATTCTTGCAACAATCCTATTAAGGTGGTAAATAACAAACAAAAATATCCAAGAAGGAGATGCTAAGGAACTTAAGCAGATAGGTTGAGGAACTTACCCAGGCTAGCACAGCTATTAAGCAGCATTGAGATTCTAATAAAGGCAGGAAGCCCTTAGAGAGAGAACTTCATTCTACAGAATACTGCCATGATAACGACTACCTAGTTCAACCATAAAATCCAAGTCTTTCAAGACACTTCCTTGTAAAAGTTCCTTAATTAAATTTTTTTTAATTGCATTCTATAATGTGAATGTAAGTGTTTGCTTCTGGTAGGTCAGAGTGAATGGGAGAGTCACAACTGTTGTAATTAAAAGGTGCACTGTCCCAATGATGGAAGCTTTGTTCACTTCTCCCAATGGTTGAAAGGCATCCATGGAGGTAAATTCTCAAACATGGTTATAAGTAAGAAGCAAATTTGACATATGGTCACTGATACCAACGTTTTCTTTTCCAGTTGAATTTTAACTTAAAGAGGTAATACATGATGGTTAAGGAAAGCAAAAGTTGTTCGAGATTTTTCATATAATTTCTCTTTATCTTTAATAATGAGATTCAGAAAGACTCCAGGAAGACTGTATTTTAAAAATTTGTCCTTTGACCCCTTGGATTTTAAGAAGATTATTCAGATATTTTTATTGATTGCGCAAATGTGGTTTCTTGGCCAAACTACTATTAAATGCATTATCCAAATGAACTGTCTTTTTTTAGAATGGCAAATTGGGTTCTTATTTCTAAATTTAATGAGCCCATTGTATGTAGCTTTACTTCACAGAGTTTAAATAATTTTCTGTGATAAAGAAATGTTAGTTTTTGAATTTGATCACTTTGTTCCACCCTTTGATATTTGTTAAAGTAAATGTCTGAAGATAAGGAGAACAAACAAGGTATTACCACATGACGCCTGTGATTCTCAGCCCAAACCATCTTGCTTTCACTTTGTTAATAACAAAGGCACGGGCAATCATAGAAGGGAACATTCTACTTTTTGTGTGTGTAATAAGTGTGGTGGAGTCTAGTGACAACTAATCCAATGGTTCCTTATTTTTTATTGTCACTTCTTTATTATAAAAATGAGGTCATGATGTGTACTGAT